GTCCAACAAAGTAACCCTCTCTCTCCGTGAGTGGAGTTTTTGACTATTAGCACTCTCACATGGATCTCTCTGGACTATATATATATATCTTCAAGGTTTCAAGTCCAACAAAGTAACCCTCTCTCTCCGTGAGTGGAGTTTTTGCCTATTAGCACTCTCACATGGCTCTCTCTGGACTACTTCTTCCCATTTCATCAATCATCATCTTCATCTTCCTTGCATACAAACTCTACCAACGGCTCAGGTTCAAGCTCCCGCCAGGTCCACGTCCATGGCCCGTCGTCGGAAACCTCTACCAGATAACGCCGGTGAGGTTCCGCTGCTACAACGAGTGGGCTCAGAAATACGGACCCATCATTTCAGTGTGGATTGGATCAACACTGAGCGTCGTAGTGAACAACACAGAGCTTGCAAAGGAAGTGCTCAAGGAGAATGACCAGAAACTGGCTGACAGGCACAGGAACAGATCAACCGCAAAGCTCAGCAGGGACGGCCAGGATCTTATTTGGGCTGACTATGGGCCCCACTATGTTAAGGTGAGGAAGGTGTGCACTCTTGAGCTTTTCTCTGCAAAGAGGCTCGAGGATCTGAGACCCATTAGAGAAGATGAGGTCACTGCTATGGTGGAGTCCGTCTTCAACCACTGCACCAAGCCTGGTATGTATTTCTCTTAACTTTTTAACTTTTTATGAAATAGTTAATTGAAATTAAGTATAATCTTCTTAAGAAAAGTAAATATTTACTAAAATAAATTGGAGAAAATTGCAAATCAACCAACAAATAGATAGGCTTATTATACTAGCACCCCACAAATTATTGAATAAATCTCACATACTTAATATACCCCACATTTACTTTTTCAATTAAAAAATATCTTAATACACCTCACTTCATTCCCCATAATACCTTCACACCCCACATTCTTAGTATACACCTTATATTTTCCACATACACCCCCACATTTCTCAAATCTTATAACACTCATTTTTTATTTTGCCAAATGATTTCAAACTATCTGAACGTTAGTTTGCCGAATGATTTCAAAAAATGTTTAGGTTCATTTGAATGTTTTTCACTAACAATAATAATGATTTCCAAGCTTTCGAAACACCGATTTCGTGTTCCATTCGTCAAAAATTATTTTTCTCAATCAACATGTTTGTAGTTTCATTGCTTAGGGTTTTATTCAACAATGGAGAATGGGAGAGGTTTTGATAGTTGAAATAGATAAATAATACGTGGGTGTATTTATAAAATTTTTATTATTTTTTAAACCTAATAAAGTCAAAATTGTCATAACATAGTAGAGTAAATAAGTCATTAATATTAAATTTTAATGTGGGTTGCATTCAACATTTTGTGGGGTGCTAATACAAAAAGCCATAGATAAACCCATGATTAAGGAGGAGAAGAAGTATGACACGTGGCGTCTCATGTCAATATGTGTTTAATTTTTATTCATGTGTTCTTATATTATTGACACAATACGTTACTATAATAATATATTCGTATTATAAAGTTGTTCTCCTGAATCGGCCATCAAAACTACACATACCACACCTGTGACGGAAATTTGGCATAATACAAAAGATTTTACCGAAAACATTTTAAAAACATAGAAAAGATGGGTATTAATGGAAGATTGATAGCATTGAAGATTGGTCGCTTTGGATAGCATTGAAGATTGGCCTTGGAAGGGGGGTATTAATGGATCACTAGTGAACAGTGTTCTAAAAAACGGCCTAGGCGGCCGCCTAGGCGCTGGGCGCCTAGCAACCGAGTTGTTTTTGGGCAAATCGGGAGGAAAAATCGGGTTGGGCCTAGGCAACTGCCTAGGCGGGCTAGGCGGCGCCTAGGCGGTCTAGGCGGGCTGGGCGGCTAGGCGGGTTAGGCGGTCCTAGGCGGCCCTAGGCGGTCCTAGGAGGTTTTTTTTATTTTTTATTTTTTATTAATCGCGTGCTTTTTTCTTTTTTGGTTTCATGGTGGTATACTTATGGAAATGGTGTATCTAATTTGCAAATGATGAATTTACTACAAGTTCATCCAATACTTATGGAAATAGTGTACCTAATTTGCATTTTATCATTATTTTATTATCCATACAAGTATAGTTTTTTTTTAGGTGTCAATATGCACTTATTTACAAGATATACAAAAAATTTACCTAAATCCGCCTAGGCCGCCTAGGCGCTAGGCGCTAGCCCGCCGTCCGACTAGCGCCTAGCGTTTTTTAGAACCTTGCTAGTGAATGATAACATTGATCACTGTATAGCAAAGCTTGAATGAGGATTCTTACCGGATCCATTGTACATCGTACGGTAAAAAATTATTATAAATTTTTTTATTTAAAATTGAATATAAATAGTACGTGACAAAAACTGATCGCTTAATTTACTACGAACGGACGTGATTAGATGATTTCCAAGATTCTCACAAAGAGGATGAGGAAAGGATCCTCATTCACAAAGCTTGGCTTCTCAGTACTTTTACTTTTGACATCTCAATTAATACTTATCTAGTTTGATTTGAGAGCCCTCCCGACTTATTCAGAATGTGATCTTTCAAAACTTGTTATCTTTTTAAGTTCTTATTATTTAAAAAAAATAAAAAAAACAGAAGAAGAATATGTTTGGGTAAATGCACTTGCAAACTCGTCCTTGTACCAGTTAAGTGATTGTTGTTAACAATTTACACACCATTTTACAGAAAACAATGGAAAAAGTTTGACAGTGAGGAAGTATTTGGGAACCGTGGCTTTCAACAACATAACAAGGCTAGCATTTGGGAAACGTTTCATCAACTCAGATGAAATCACAGATGAGCAAGGCAAAGAATTCAGAGCTCTTATTGCCGATGGAGTGAAGAAGAGCGGATCGCTCTCTGTGGCTGAGCACATTTCGTGGTTGCGTTGGGCATGCCCGTTTGACGAAGAGGCGTTTGCTCGACATGAGGCGAACAGAGACAAACTCACCAAGGAAATCATGGACGAACACACTCAGGCACGCTCCAGAGGTGGCGTTGCCAAGAGCCATTTCGTGGATGCATTGTTTACCTTGAAGGACAAGTATGACCTTAGTATGGACACTATTATAGGACTTCTTTGGGTAAGTTGGTGTACATTAATACATCAATGGTTTCCCACTTTGTTGCTTCCTTTTTTATTAGTTAACGGAACTGTTATTAGCAATATGAGATAGTCATCGCGCACACTTCCCTTACATTCGAAACTAATGAAGCGATTTGTTCAGGATATGATGGCTGCCGGTACAGACACCACAGCTATTACAGCTGAATGGGGCATGGCCGAACTGATTAAGAACCCAAGGGTGCAACAAAAGGCTCAAGAGGAGCTAGATAAGGTTATTGGGGTCGACCGGGTCTTGACCGAAAACGATTTCTCAAACCTCCCTTACCTACAATGTGTTGCAAAGGAAGCACTACGTTTGCACCCACCAGCACCACTAATGCTCCCCCACCGAGCCAATGCCGATGTCAAGATTGGTGGCTACGACGTCCCCAAGGGTTCGATCGTTCATGTCAATATTTGGGCTATAGCACGTGACCCGGCTGTCTGGAAAAGCCCAAATGCATTTCGTCCTGAAAGGTTCCTGGAAGAAGACTTTGACATCAAAGGCCATGACTTCAGACTACTTCCATTTGGATCAGGCAGGCGAGTATGCCCTGGAGCCCAACTCGGTATCAACTTGGTGGCCTCCATGTTGGGTCATCTGTTGCACCATTTCAGTTGGGCTCCGCCCCAAGGAGTGAACCCAGAGGAGATTGACATGTCCGAAAATCCAGGGACGGTCACTTACATGGCAACCCCAGTAGAAGTTGTGCCTACTCCAAGGCTGCCATCACACTTGTACAAGCGTGTGGAGGCGACTATGTAATTTTCAGTGTCTTTCGTATTGTGAATCAACTTGTTTGCACAACCCTTCCCTTTCGGGACAATAAAGTTCAAGTATGTGTTTGATAGTAATAAGACACTTCCCTTCCCTTGGTTGTGGAAGCGAGGCGATTCCGTTGCCGCTGGACATTCCGAAGAAGCTGTTGTTGAATGGTTTTCGAAGATTTTGAGGTAATGGTCCGAACTCCGGTCACTCTAGGGAACAAGGTGTGAATTTGTTAGATAAAAAGGTGCATGGCTAAAGTGTTTTATATATACTTGCTGGAAAAGTTATGCTTCAATGTATTTGTAACAGTTTGAAGCCATTCCATGACAATTTAACAATATTGTTAGTTGAATATTCTTGGGATTTTAAAAGTTCCAAGAATTTAGCCTAAGTTCCATAAATACTCTCTTCTAAAGCATTTTAAAAAATCGAGTCTAAAATGCTTTGGGCCTTTTGAAAATCTCTCGTCCAAACATAACATTACGGATCAATAAACAGAAGCTCTTAAAACGAATATTTGATCATGCATGAATTCTGAGCTAGCTACAATCAAATCTATGAACTTAGAAATTGGTCGTGCAAAATCTGGAGATAAAACGGGAGGGTGATGCAAAGGAAACACTTTCATAAGTAACTCTAATGTAAAATTCAACAAGTATTGATTAGTAAAAAATAACTAGGGTACAATGGCCATAAACCCGTACCTTAGACTATTCAAAGAGGAAGGAGAATTGTCTTTGCTTTCCTGTAGTCCTTACGGCTCAATTTGATAACTATTTTAGTTTTCATTTCTTTCGAAAATTGAAATTGAAAAATTGAAAACTCGCCAGGTAATTTTTAATTTGTTAGTTTTTAATTTTGGTTTTTAGTATTGAAAATTAAAGGTAGTTACCAAATCAGTTTTCATTTTTAAGCGAAATAGTTATCAAACGTCCTTGATAATTAACATTAGTTAGTCAAAAACCAAATTGGACTTTGCTTTCCGACATCAATTTAAATTGATCTTTTCTTGGCCTTTGGACTGGAGAAAATTGGAAGTCCAGGAAGATGAAAATCATTACTAGTAATAGCTAGAAAATATATTCACAGTTAATTTCTGCATGTATAAATTAAAACCCCCATAACTTCACTCTTCCTCATTAGCTAGTCTCCCTTTAATTAAGGCTAAATATTTACATATATTTTTCAGAAAAATGGCAGGTTTATTTGACAAGCAGGCAGAAGATTACTTGGTAGCAAGGCCAACTTACCCCAAGGAATGGTACTCCATGCTGGCGGCTCTCACACCAAAACACTCTTTAGCTTGGGATGTCGGCACCGGCAATGGCCAAGCTGCTTTCTCTGTTAGTACTCCTCTTAATTTCCGAAAATTCCACGATGCACTGGTGTATTGGACGACTAGATTATGACAGTCTCAATTCAAATACCGATGAATCACATACAACTGTGTATTGTAGAAAATAAGAGTACTAATTTGTGCTGTTTTTTTTTTACTTTGTGCAGCTTGGAGAGCATTATGAGCAAGTAATAGGAAGTGATATAAGTGAATCCCAACTGAAGAGTGCACTCCAACATCCTCGAGTTCGTTACGTTCACACTCCGGTGACCATGTCCGATGACGAGTTGGTTGACCTAATAGGGGGCGAAAACTCAGTTGATTTAGTGACCGTGGCAGAGGCCGTGCACTGGTTTGACCTCCCAAAGTTCTACTCGCTCGTCAAGAGCATTTTGTGTAAGCCTTAATTAGTTCAGAAATTTCTTTAAGGAAATAAGACATAATCATGTGTGTAGTGATTCCGGTTTTAACATAAGAATAGGTGGTTTAAACTTAGGTCACCATCGCATTCGTTATAACTTTGAATCACTTACACTAATTAAAGGTTTAATTCGAAAGACACCTTTATTGTATGCATGATTATATCGGTATGCTTGTGATAATTATAAAGAGAGAATTATTGTAATATCATTTACCATATTATTGAAATTGGGAAGGATTGTTAGAGATTTCAATAATAATAATTATTATTATTATTAATATATAATATTTATGAATATATAAATATATAAATATATATGACCTAGTGCTGGTGCCATCCGCAGCATGCATGCGGCAATATGTATTCAAAGGTTGGATTTAATTCAACCTTGTACCTTTTGGTTGAATTACAACTTTTGGTTAAAAGATATGATGTTTACTCAAATTGTATGAGTAGAATTAAAGGATATAATTAGTCAATATTTATTTTCTGAAAATTCTAAATAGAACACATGTCTTTTGGGTCAACACTGTTAGAGATTTCAATAATAATAATAATTATTATTATTAATATATATATATATATTAATATATAATATTTATGAATATATAAATATATAAATATATATGACCTAGTGCTGGTGCCATCCGCAGCATGCATGCGGCAATATGTATTCAAAGGTTGGATTTAATTCAACCTTGTACCTTTTGGTTGAATTACAACTTTTGGTTAAAAGATATGATGTTTACTCAAATTGTATGAGTAGAATCAAAAGGATATAATTAGTCAATATTTATTTTCTGAAAATTCTAAATAGAACACATGTCTTTTGGGTCAACACTATTAAGAAGAGTTGTGTGTCTTCAACTAAAATGAAATGGCTCGATGAACGGGTACTTTGATGTCTATAAATACATGTTGTGGTATAATGTTTCATACACAATTCATTCAGAAATTTGTTGTCTACATAATTTCTTTGCTCTCTTTTCTCTACGCATCACATTCATACAATTTCTTTCTAGTTATTTCTAAGGGAATATAATTCGGTTTTGCTAATCGAATATTCCATACTTTGTTGTATCCTGGAAGTGATTTGCCAAGAACCCTTTAGCAAACTCATTCGAGTGGGGGCAAATAACACTTTAAGGAAACGATTCAAATCGTACCTCAAAGTCATTATTCGGATTATTCTCCATAAATCTACATTTAATCTAACAATCTTAAAGTGTTATGTTCGTTATGGATAACAAATCTGATAACATGGCTTTGAAGATTATCAATCAAGATGTCTACAAGTTAGACAAATTTGATGGATCAAATTTCACCCGATGGAAGGACAAGATGCGTTTCATGCTTACTGTTCTAAATGTCATATATGTGTTGGACCCGAAATTAGCGCCTATTCGTGAACCAAGTGACAAAGACTCGGACAATATAGTTGCCTATCGAAAGAAGCGTGAAGAAGATGAATTCGTATGTCGAGGACACATCTTGGGCACATTATCTGATCGTTTATATGACCTGTATGCACACATTCAATCTTCAAAGGAAATTTGGGAAGCACTTGAACATAAGTACACAACGGAAAAAAGAGGTACCGATAAATTTTTAATGTTCAAATATTATGAATTCACTATGTTTGATAACAAACCCATCCTAGACCAAGTTCATGAATTATTGGTCTTGGTCTCAAAGCTTCGTGAACTTAAATTAGTTATTCCGGATCCTATGATAGTTGGGGCTATTATGGCAAAATTACCCCAAACATGGAATAACTATAGAAAGAAACTTCTACACATGGTGGAAGATATTAGTTTAGAGAATTTGCAAAAGGGTATTCAAATTGAAGAGGAAACTCGAAATCGTGATAAGAATTTTGCAAATCAAGATTTCTCTAAAGTTCACATTGTCGAAGGAAACAAATATAAAAAGAACTTCAAAGTCAAAATTGACAAAGGGAAGTTTAAGAAGACCAATTCCAACAACAATCAAAAGAATGCAAATGGTGTATGTTACCATTGTGGAAAGTAAGGTCATTACATTCGTGATTGTAGACACAGAAAAGCAAGTGAGGAATATGCCAATAAGACCAATAGCGCAAATATGGTGGATTTTTACAATTGCCAGAGGAGCAATTTCTTGGGCTTCGAAGAAGCAAACATGTATAGCACATTCAACTATGGAATCTGAATTTATAGCATTAGCAGCAGGTAAAGAAGCGGAATGGATTAGAAATTTGTTATTGGAAATAGAGTTGTGGCCACAACCAATGCCATCCATTTCTTTATACTGTGATAGTGAGGCTACTTTGTCTAGAGTATACAATAAGGTATACAATGGAAAATCTAGACATATTAGCTTGAGACATGAATATGTCAAGCAATTAATAACTGATGGAGTTATTAATATTGTTTATGTTAAATCAAGTAATAACTTGGCGGATCCGTTAACGAAAGCACTTTCAAGAGCTTTGGTAGTTAGTACATCTAGTGGAATGGGGCTAAAACCCTTTATTGAAAATTAGCCACCAATAATGGTAACCCGACTTTATCTAGAACATCACTAGTTTTTTAATGGGTAATAACAAGTTATTGTTAAGTGGTTGTGCAAGCACTGAAAATTATTATATAGCTCATTCCAGGATGATCAGTGCAAGACTGCTACGTTTAGGAGGATGAGTTTTAACTCTTAATGAGGTTATTTGTAGTTATGTCTATAGTAGCAGGGACATGGGAATGAACCTTACCTATATAAACATAAGAAGTAGTGCCGCTTCTGCCAAGAGTTGGGCTTTCTCTTGTAAATGTTTATGAAACCAGGATGAAGCACAAGGCCATAATAGTGCTTAATTAGTTCAGAAATTTCTTTAAGGAAATAAGACATGATCATGTGTGTAGTGATTCCGGTTTTAACATAAGAATAGGTGGTTTAAACTTAGGTCACCATCGCATTCGTTATAACTTTGAATCACTTACACTAATTAAAGGTTTAATTCGAAAGACACCTTTATTGTATGCATGATTATATCGGTATGCTTGTGATAATTATAAAGAGAGAATTATTGTAATATCATTTACCATATTATTGAAATTGGGAAGGATTGTTAGAGATTTCAATAATAATAATAATAATTATTATTAATATATATATATATTAATATATAATATTTATGAATATATAAATATATAAATATATATGACCTAGTGCTGGTGCCATCCGCAGCATGCATGCGCAATATGTATTCAAAGGTTGGATTTAATTCAACCTTGTACCTTTTGGTTGAATTACAACTTTTGGTTAAAAGATATGATGTTTACTCAAATTGTATGAGTAGAATTAAAGGATATAATTAGTCAATATTTATTTTCTGAAAATTCTAAATAGAACACATGTCTTTTGGGTCAACACTATTAAGAAGAGTTGTGTGTCTTCAACTAAAATGAAATGGCTCGATGAACGGGTACTTTGATGTCTATAAATACATGTTGTGGTATAATGTTTCATACACAATTCATTCAGAAATTTGTTGTCTACATAATTTCTTTGCTCTCTTTTCTCTACGCATCACATTCATACAATTTCTTTCTAGTTATTTCTAAGGGAATATAATTCGGTTTTGCTAATCGAATATTCCATACTTTGTTGTATCCTGGAAGTGATTTGCCAAGAACCCTTTGGCAAACTCATTCGAGTGGGGGCAAATAACACTTTAAGGAAACGATTCAAATCGTACCTCAAAGTCATTATTCGGATTATTCTCCATAAATCTACATTTAATCTTACATGATTGCGGTTTGGGGCTACAATGATATCGTAACACACCCAGAAATCGAGGGTGTACTGAAGCGTTTTTATGAAGCAAGTAAACCGTTTTGGGACCCGAAGAGAGAGTACTTGTGGGAAGGGTATAGGACACTTCCATTTCCATTTGAGAGTGTTGGTTTGGGTTCTGAAGGGCAGCCTGTGGCACTGGAAATACTAAAGGAAGTGTCATTTGAAGGGGTGTTGAGGATGTTAAGGTCCTCCTCTGCAGTCAATACAGCTAAGGATCAAGGCGTGGATTTGTTATCACAAGAGGTGATTGAAGAGATTCAAAGAGCTTGGGGAAGGCCTAACGTGGTCAGAAATGTTACCTTCAAGGCATTTACGCTTGCCGGAAAAGTTTAGGCTGTTAGGTATTTTTCCCTACAAGATAGATATACAGTCTTTTTTTACTACTCACACATCTCTTGTTAATTTCTGTCCTTTGATTTTCTTCAATTTATCTGATTCAATGGCCGAAAATTAGAAGAGTGTCTGAAAAGTAAAAAGAGTGTGTGGCTATCACGCCCATATATATTTGTATGTATATGTATATTCGTAACACTCATTTGAACTTTGATGACAGAGTGCTCCTTGTAAAAAAACTCTTCATGACAAAAGTCTTATACACTTCTCTAAAACCTATATAAGAATTCACTGAAAATCGATGTATTGAACTCTCTTAAAATCCTTCAAAATCCCAATTGAGTGCACTCGTTAATTTGCTAATTGGTTATCCATTAACTATTATTCCATTACAAAATAGTGAATTATAACACTATAGTCCCACATAACTTCATTCTTTTACATTATATAGTATGCATTTAAGTGAGAGCAGTCAACACGAAATACCATTTTATTAAAACCTACTTTTAAAATAATTAAAAGCACTTTTACATTACCAAAAGTGTTTTTTTTAGTACAACGATATATTTTACACTAAGGAGAGATGATGAGTCGGCTAAGCCACACAATGGGCAACCTAATTTGGTATCAAATTCGTCATCTACGAGATTTGATCTTAAGACCTCTCATTTATAAGCGAAGAGGAATCCATCAGACCATAGTACCGAGTGACCACTAAAACTGCTTCTTAAAAAGGGAAGAAAAATATTGTGGCAATAAGTTTGATATAATTGATGACGTTGGAGGGAGGGAAGCGGTTGAAAAGGCCAGTGAGGAGAGGTTGGTGGCCAACACCAAAAATAAAAGATAATTGTTAAAGAGACTTTGTTAAATTTAGATTTTTTATAGACTTTTTGTTACCTCATATTTTTTGTATAATATTTTATAATATTCGCGCGATAATTGATATTAAACTGTGAGGCGACAAAGATCTTAAGAAAAATCCCACTTTAAAAGAATTCATTTATTATTTCTCAAATAAATTGAAGAAAATTAGAGTTTTGAAGGTAGAGTGCACACATGCACAAAATACAACTTAAACAAATAATACAAATAGAATAATCCAAGAGTGTCAACTTTTATATATACAATGTCCTGGAGTACAAGCAAATTTCTTAATGAAATAATCCAAAAGTGTCAACTTTGCTTGTAATTATATATGAAAAAAACAAAATACTTGGTTCCCAACAAATTTTAATTATAAAAGTACAAATAAGTTGACCAATAATCTATCACTGACCATGTTTCACGAAAACAGTTAAAAATTCTCATTATCTTACAAAAAGTACGTAGAATTCGATGTGTTTTTAAAATAATTTAAAGTGATTTTTATAAGAAGCATTATTTATATGTTTTTTGTAAAAAGAATTTCAAGTATTTTTTCAAAATTCATTTGAATTTTTTGTTAAAAATATTTTCACAAAAACATTTTCAGTTATTTTAAAAGTAATTTCAAACGAGCTTCTAATCGATGTTCTTCACTAAAAACATACCTCCTTGAAACAAGTCTAGGCCGATCCGGTAGGCCCATTGCGACACCCATACCTTGAAGCCGAGCCCGTTCCACGCCTCCAAATTGTGGGTCCTCGATTCCTCCACCGGGCAGCTCGCAATCGAACGGCTAGGAACCCATCTCACGGGTAGATGGCAACACCTAACCTTCTCTCGCTCCCACGAAAAACCCTTCTTATACCACTTCTCTTATCTCCTCAGTTCACTTCGCCTCTCTCTCCTCGCTCTTCTCCTTCTCCCAATCCGCAGGGAAGGTTTAGGGTTTCTGCACAACCTGAAAGCTCTCGAAAATGGCTTCCGCGCAAATCAACGTCCTCAGCACCGCGCCCAATTTCACAACCCCGAGGACGGCGTTTTTCGGTCAGGGACTGGGCCGAACGACGCCGGTGAAGGCGTTCGTGAGCCTGAGACGTAACGGCGTCAGAAGGGTCGGGCCGCTCCGGATAGTCAATGAGAAAGTTGTGGGAATCGATTTGGGGACGACGAACTCGGCCGTTGGGGCTATGGAGGGCGGAAAGCCCACCATAGTCACCAACGCCGAGGGGCAGAGAACGACGCCGTCCGTGGTGGCGTATACGAAGAATGGAGATAGGCTTGTGGGCCAGATTGCCAAACGGCAGGCCGTTGTGAACCCTGAGAACACCTTCTTCTCGGTGAAGAGGTTCATTGGGAGGAGGATGTCGGAGGTGGACGAGGAGTCGAAGCAGGTGTCGTACAAGGTTGTAAGGGATGCGAATGGGAATGTCAAGATCGACTGCCCTGCTATCGGCAAGCAGTTCGCCGCTGAAGAAATTTCAGCTCAGGTATAACTTTTTACTGACAATTGTGGGTTTATTTTCTTATTGCGTCTGTGTTTTTGGCAATGCGATTGTTGAAATTTTACCTATATCAATTTGGTCAAGTTTTAGAATAATTTGTGGTATTATTACGTTTTAATTTGTTGAAAGATGTGATTTTTTTATGTCGTTTGTTGGGGGTCAATGGTGGTCGTACAAATATAATGTGTTGTTTTGTGGTTTTGGTGATGGGTGTTGTGAAACTTATCTACGGATCTGTTTGGGCGCTGGGAAAGTGAAGGAAAATGAATAAGGTTAATGGTAATTTTGTTTGGTTGTGGTTAATGGACTACGTAAAACTTGCATTGAATGAAGCTGGTGAGTAGAATTAAGCAAAACTGAGCTTCAGTGCTGGTAAAATTGCGTGTATAGATAACAGTGATGAAGGCTAACTGCATATTTAAGTTCTCCAAAACGTTTGTTCTTGTCAGCTAATACTGGTTCTGCTAACATAACTTGGTTAGTTTTTGGAAACAATGTAATGCTTTAGCTGTCGAATTTTGTTGAACTTAGTTTTATTGCTGGTTTAGGTGTTGAGGAAGCTTGTGGATGATGCTTCAAAGTTTTTGAATGATAAAGTTACCAAAGCAGTGGTCACTGTGCCTGCTTACTTCAATGACTCTCAAAGAACTGCTACAAAAGATGCCGGCCGTATTGCTGGTTTAGAAGTTCTTAGGATTATTAATGAGCCTACTGCCGCTTCTTTAGCATATGGGTTTGACAGGAAAAACAATGAAACTATCTTGGTATTTGACCTTGGAGGTGGTACTTTTGATGTCTCAGGTACAGTGTTTGTTATTTGGATGTGTTCTTTATCCATTATGGCCGTGCAAATGTTGGTTTGCATGTTTTTGTTAGAACTATGTATAACCTTGTTCTAACTTGCTCTTCTTCCATTACAGTACTTGAGGTTGGTGACGGTGTGTTTGAAGTGCTATCTACTTCAGGAGATACACATTTGGGTGGTGATGATTTCGATAAGGTTAGGATTCGCTATTTCTTCTTATTTGGTTATGTCATGACTATACACTTGAATCCTTTTATATTTAAAAACTTTATTCCCTTTGGGTTAGTTTTAGAGGCCTAAATATTGATATGGTTGTGATGATGTTGTTATTTTGCAGAGGGTTGTTGACTGGCTTGCTGAAGACTTCAAAAGAAATGAAGGAATAGACCTGTTGAAGGATAAACAGGCTCTTCAGAGGCTGACAGAGACAGCAGAGAAAGCCAAGATGGAGTTATCATCTTTGACTCAGGCTAACATTAGGTATGCTGCCAAAATCTGAGAACCTTCATTATTCCGAAGCATTTTTGAGCCATTGAGTATTCTCTTGTGATCATCTGTTCGGTGATAATTGTTTTGTTCCAGTCTGCCTTTCATTACTGCAACTGCCGATGGGCCGAAGCACATTGAGACAACCCTTACAAGGGCGAAGTTTGAGGAGTTGTGCTCAGATCTGCTTGACAGGTGTGAACTTTTGTTTCAACGTGCTATGATATTGTGGATCTCTGCATATTTGGCTGTAGTTTTTTTTTTTTGTTGCTAGTTTCAAGATGTCCCCTTTGATGCCTAATGTTGTGGAATGTATTTTGGTTGCTATATTTGGTGGTATAATTTTGGTTCTATGAGCTCTGGAAATATTTGATTCTAAAGTCACGTTATCATTTTGTTGATATTTTAGGCTTAGAACACCGGTTGAAAACTCCTTGAGGGATGCAAAGCTTGCCTGGAAAGATATAGATGAAGTGATACTTGTTGGTGGTTCAACACGTATACCAGCTGTGCAGGAGCTTGTAAGGAAGGTGACAGGGAAGGAACCAAATGTTACAGTTAATCCTGATGAAGTTGTTGCCCTAGGAGCTGCCGTTCAGGTGTGTCTCTTATGATTTCTTTCTTCAATTTGGTGACATGCTATGTCCTTTGTTGTATGACAATTTTTATCAAGTTATTGGTTCTTTCTATTTTTATTTGTTTTGTGCTACAGTTTCTGTTGCTATTATCGTATTGACCGGTGATACCTTTTTTCGCTTGATTCTAGGCTGGTGTATTAGCTGGAGATGTCAGTGACATTGTGCTCTTGGACGTGACACCACTGTCACTGGGTTTGGAGACCCTCGGTGGCGTCATGACTAAGATCATCCCAAGAAACACAACTCTACCTACCTCCAAGTCGGAGGTGTTTTCAACAGCTGCAGATGGGCAAACAAGTGTTGAGATTAATGTCCTTCAAGGAGAAAGGGAATTTGTAAGAGATAACAAGTCTCTTGGGAGCTTCCGTTTGGATGGAATCCCGCCTGCTCCACGAGGGGTTCCTCAAATCGAAGTCAAGTTCGACATTGATGCCAATGGTATTCTATCCGTCGCTGCTGTGGACAAGGGCACAGGAAAGAAGCAAGACATCACCATTACTGGTGCCAGTACCTTGCCTAGTGATGAGGTTAGTTGGCTAGCAAATTGTAAAACTTGTCAGCTTTGTGATATTATATTTGGAACATCTCGTTTGTGTATTTGAAATCTTGAATTATATTGAGGGAAATGCCTGCAAATGTACAGGTGGAAAGGATGGTTAGTGAAGCCGAGAGGTTTGCACAGGAGGACAAGGAGAAGAGAGACGCCATCGACACAAAGAACCAGGCTGATTCTGTTGTGTACCAGACAGAGAAGCAACTGAAAGAGCTGGGAGACAAGGTCCCAGCTGAAGTTAAAGAAAAGGTGGAGGCAAAACTTGGAGAGCTCAAGGAGACAGTCTCAGGGGGTTCAACTCAAGCCATAAAAGATGCCATCGCCGCCCTTAACCAGGAAGTGATGCAGCTTGGCCAGTCGCTTTACAACCAGCCCGGGACTCCTGGTGCTGGTGCAGGGCCGACTCCACCTGGTGCTGAAGCGGGTGGGTCTTCAGAATCATCATCCGGCAAGGGACCGGACGGAGATGTTATCGACGCAGATTTCACCGACAGCAAGTGAGCAAGACTGTTGGACAGAAGTTAGTGGCTTTCTTTCATATTTTATTTAGATTAAATGTGTATAGAAGAATGATTTGCCGGGATGGGATTGTGGTGTTGGGGCATACTATGTCTTTTTTGTTTTATGGAGATGGAGAAACAATGCTATTTAGATGACAGAGGACCAGTTACTTGAACTTAATTAGAAGACCGTCAGCGAAACATTAGGGCGATTACAGCCCTTGCAAACTGTTTAAGCATCGATTTATTTAAATGCAGAAGAGCATTATTTAGTTTCAGGCTCCATGTAGGCATTCAGCAGTAAAAACCGCAATAATAAAAAAAATGAAATTATATTTACACAACTTAAATTATTTTTTTCACACCTCTATAATTTTTTAATATTTTTTACACACTACTAGCATTTAATAAAAAAATATTAAAGAATTGGGTTAAAAGATCGAGAGCTGAGGATTTGTTATCACAAGAGGTGACAAGTCATCTTTTTAGAAGCTATACTTTTCTAATGTGATTGACAGCAGTTTTGTTTTATCACAAATTTGATGTTTCAGATTTGTTAATAAGCTATATTTTTAAAAGCATCGTAATCTCAAACCAGCGATTTAAAAGTGCTTATGTTCTTACAAAAATCACTTATAAAGTTTTGACTAGTGCTTCTTTAAAAATTACTTCTAAGCATTTTTTAAGAAAAGAGATTTTAAATAAATAAGTCATGTTACTTAATATTACGGTTTAGTGATACTTTTATTCAGTTGTAAGGGAGAGATTTTATATTTGATTTTCGTTAAAGGTAAATTTGAATAATATTATTAATAATCAATTGTAAAACTAAGTATAGTGTTAAAAAAAAAAACGAAGAAAAAATAAGTCCAAACTAATCCGGTTAGGGCCATGCCGCCCATGCCTCCAAAAAGAAGGGACAAGAAAATAAAAGAAAGACCCCGATTCTTCCAACGGGCAGCTCGCAATCTAACGGCCAGGAACCCCTGCCCGTCAATAAAAAAATCTCACGGGCAGTAGATCATTCTACAACCTTCTCCCGCTCCCTCGAAAAACCCTCCCTCTGCAACTTCACGCATCTTCTCGGTTCACTTCGCCTCTCTCCTCGCTCTTCTCCTTCTACAAATACCTTGGGAAGGATCAGGATTTCTGCTACTCAATAATAAACCCTAATTTCACCTGAAAGCTCTCGAAAATGGCTACCGCTCAAATCAACGTCCTCAGCACCAAGCCCAATTTCACAACCCCGAGGTCGGCGTTTTTCGGTCAGGGACTGGGCCGAACGACGCCGTTGAAGGCGTTTGTGAGCGTGAGACCCAACGGCGTCAGAAGGGTGGTGCCGCTCCGGATAGTCAATGAGAAAGTTGTGGGAATCGATTTGGGAACGACGAACTCCGCCGTTGGGGTTATGGAGGGCGGAAAGCCCACCATCGTCACCAACGCCGAGGGCCAGAGAACGACGCCGTCCGTGGTGGCGTATACGAAGAACGGGGATAGGCTTGTGGGGCAGATTGCCAAACGACAGGCCGTTGTGAACCCCGAGAACACCTTCTTCTCCGTGAAGAGGTTCATTGGGAGGAGGATGTCTGAGGTGGACGAGGAGTCGAAGCAGGTGTCGTACAAGGTCGTAAGGGATGCGAATGGGAATGTCAAGATCGACTGCCCTGCTATCGGCAAGCAGTTCGCCGCTGAAGAAATTTCAGCTCAGGTATAATTTTTACTGAAATTTTTGGGTTTATTTTTTTATTGCTTCTGTTTTTTGGCAGTGGGATTGTTGAAATTTTACGTATTTCAATAAGGGGGAAGTTTTTAGAGTAATTTGTGGTATTATTACGTTTTAATTTGTTGAAAATTATGATTTTTGACGTCGTTTGTTGGTAGTCAATGGTGGTCGTACAATGGTGCGGTGTTATTTTGTAGTTTTGGTGATGAGTGTTGCGAAATTGATCTACAGTTCTGTTTGCCCGCTCGGAAAATGATCGGAAAATGAAGGAAAATGAATAAGGTTGATGATAATTTCGTGTTGGTGGTGGTTAAGGTCTCCGAAACCCATTTTTCTTGTCTGCTAATGTGAATTTTGAAACGTTAAACTTTACGGCGCTCCACTGTTACATTCATAATTATTTTACCTTTTGGATTGTGCCATTTGCATGATTCTGGTTCTGCTAACGTAACTTGGTTAGTTTTATGAAACAATGTAATGCTTTAGCTGTCAAATTTTGTTGAACTTAGTTTTATTGCTGGTTTAGGTGTTGAGGAAGCTTGTGGATGATGCTTCGAAGTTTTTGAATGATAAAGTTGGGAAAGCAGTGATCACTGTGCCTGCTTACTTCAATGACTCTCAAAGAACTGCTACAAAAGATGCCGGCCGTATTGCTGGTTTGGAAGTTCTTAGGATTATAAATGAACCTACTGCTGCTTCTTTAGCATACGGGTTTGACAGGAAGAACAATGAAACTATCTTGGTATTTGACCTTGGAGGTGGTACTTTTGATGTTTCAGGTACAGTGTTTGTTATTGGGATGTGTTCTTTATCCATTATGGCCGTGCAAATGTTGGTTTGCGTGTTTTTGTTATATCTTTTTCTAAATTGCGCTCCTTCCATTACAGTACTTGAGGTTGGTGATGGTGTGTTTGAAGTGCTATCTACTTCAGGAGATACGCATTTGGGGGGCGATGATTTTGATAAGGTTTGGATTCGCTATTTCTTCTAATTTTGGTTATGCCCTTTGGGTTAAGTTTAGAGGCCTAAATAGTGATATGGTTTTGATTATGTTGTTATTTTGCAGAGGATTGTTGACTGGCTTGCTGCAGACTTCAAAAGCAATGAAGGAATAGACCTGTTAAAGGATAAACAGGCTCTTCAGCGGCTGACAGAGACAGCCGAGAAAGCCAAGATGGAGTTGTCAACTTTGACTCAGACTAACATTAGGTAAGTTGCCAATATCTGAGAACCTTCATTATTCCGAAGCATTTTTCAGCTGTTGAGTATTCTCTTGTGATCATATGTCTGGGCTGTTTTCATTTCTAACAATGTTTTATCGGTGATAATTGTTATGTTCCAGTCTGCCTTTCATTACTGCAACTGCAGATGGGCCGAAGCACATTGAGACAACTCTTACTAGGGCGAAGTTTGAGGAGTTGTGCTCAGATCTGCTTGACAGGTGTGAACTTTTGTTTCAATTTGCTATGAGATTGTGGATATCTGCATATTTTGCTGTAGCTTTTTTGGTTGCTAATTTCAATATATCCCCTTTGATGCCTTAATGTATATATTTGATTCTAAAGTAAAGTTAGAATTTTGTTGATATTTTAGGCTTAGAACACCAGTTGAAACCGCCTTGAGGGATGCAAAACTTGCCTGGAAAGATATAGATGAGGTGATACTTGTTGGTGGTTCAACACGTATACCAGCTGTGCAGGAGCTTGTAAGAAAGGTGACAGGGAAGGAACCAAATGTTACGGTTAATCCTGATGAAGTTGTTGCCCTAGGAGCTGCAGTTCAGGTCGGTCTCTATGATTTCTTTCTTCAATTTGGTGACATGTTATGTCCATTGTTATAAGACAATTGTTGTGAAGTTATTGGTTTTTTTGTGTTTTCTGTTGCTATTATCGTATTGACCGTGATACCTTTTTTCGCTTGATTCTAGGCTGGTGTATTGGCTGGAGATGTCAGTGATATTGTGCTCTTGGACGTGACACCACTTTCACTGGGTTTGGAGACCCTTGGTGGCGTCATGACTAAGATTATCCCAAGAAACACTACTCTACCTACCTCCAAGTCGGAGGTGTTTTCAACAGCTGCAGATGGGCAGACAAGTGTCGAGATTAATGTCCTTCAAGGAGAAAGAGAATTTGTTAGAGATAACAAGTCTCTTGGGAGCTTCCGTTTGGATGGTATTCCCCCTGCTCCACGAGGGGTTCCTCAAATTGAAGTCAAATTCGACATTGACGCCAATGGTATTCTATCCGTCGCTGCTGTGGACAAGGGCACAGGGAAGAAGCAAGACATCACCATCACTGGTGCCAGTACCTTGCCAAGTGACGAGGTTAGTCGACTGTCAAATTTTAAAATTGTCAGCTTTGTGATATTAGATTTGGAACTACTCGTTTGTATTTTTTTCAAGTCTCGAATTATATTAAGAGAGATGCCTGCAAATGTACAGGTGGAAAGGATGGTTAACGAAGCTGAGAAGTTTGCAAAGGAAGACAAGGAGAAGAGAGACGCCATCGACACAAAGAACCAGGCTGACTCAGTTATCTACCAAACAGAGAAGCAACTGAAAGAGCTGGGAGACAAGGTTCCAGCTGAAGTTAAAGGAAAGGTCGAGGCAAAACTTGGAGAGCTCAAGGATGCAGTCTCAGGGGGTTCAACTCAGGCCATAAAAGATGGCATCGCTGCCCTTAACCAGGAAGTGATGCAGCTTGGCCAGTCGCTTTACAACCAGCCCGGCACTCCTGGTGCTGGTGCGGGGCCAACTCCACCCGGTTCTGAAGCTGGTGGGTCTTCAGATTCATCATCCGGCAAGGGACCCGACGGTGATGTTATCGACGCAGATTTCACCGACAGCAAGTGAGCAAGACCGTTGGACAGAAGTTAGTGGCCTTCTTGCTTATACTATTTAGATTAAATGTGTATATATGATTCTGCCGGGATGGGATCGTGGTGTTGGGGATACTGTGTCATTTTTGTTTTATGGAGAATGAGAAACAGTGTTGTTTAGATGACAGAGGACTAGTTACTTGAACTTACTTAGGTGACTTAGAAGACCGATAGCGAAACGTTACGGCGATTAGGGCCCTTTCAAATTGGTTAAAGCGTTGATTGATTTAAATGCAAAAGAGCAATATTTCTTTCGTTCGTTCGTGCATTTAGCGGTGAAAACCAATACCAATAGTAACAAAGCAACACAATCTATCTAGGACTTCGAGGGAGGCTTTCATGACCTCGTCCTCCTCCGCCACCGCTAAGTCTCAGTGATGATCTAGGACTGCTGTTGTTGCTACTAGGAGATAAGTTGGAAGGAATATGATTTTGGCCTTGACCCGGAGAAATATTCGGCCCCATCAACGAGCACCTCGCGCTTCCAGACTCTGATCTACCTGGCGACGTCAAAGGAGGTGGAGTCCTAATCCCTCGGTGGTGCGCTCTTGCACTAAACGAAGACTGGTACGCCTGGTGGTGGTGGTGGTGGTTTTGGTGGTAGTTAGGGTGTTGGAGACGCCCTTGAACATGGCCTTGGTATGCGCTGCAAATACTTGGAGAGCTGTGCACTCTATGCACTGGAGGCGAAAGTGTGAGCCGGTGACCTGCCATGCTCATGTCAGCCACAACCGCGTGGTGTTCAGGGGATGCTGATTGAGATGCTGATTTGGGCGATGAACATGCAGAATATAAGCCGAAGCTGCCCATGGGGCTACTTGCGATGACCTTTGGGGCAACCGGAGCAAACTGCTGCTGTTGCTGCAGCGGTTGAGGCTGCATTTTTGGTGGCGATCGGATGATTCCATTGATGGCGTCAATGTAACGCTGCTCCAGCTGGTGTTCCAACGACGGGGTTGGACTCTCGATCATGATTAACTTGGACGGGAACAAGAATGCTCTCGGCCTCGGGCTGCCCTCGCTCTCTTGTCGATCATATTCGTCGAGCATGTGCTTTAGATCTTCGTCGCTTCTCACGGAGACCAAGGCATCGAGATCTTCATTGGCCGGCTGGTATTTCAACACCATCTCCCCATCAGACAATGTACTCAGCTTTTCCATCAACTCTGAAACGTAGATAAGGCAAAGTACCCTTTAGACATATACGTTCCTAGAAATTCCGTACGGTTATGAAGTTCCGAGTTCAAATCTCATTCACGTAAAATTCAAAAAGAAACAAATAGACTAACAAAATGTGCACCTGCGTATGTTATGCCGCGGGACAATGCAATGACGCGAGTCTCCCCTCCAACATACTTGAGGTGGCCGTCGGCAGGCCTGGGTAGGATTCTGCCGCCATGGCTGCACAAGAACTTGATCCGGTTTTTGGGGGAGGACGGCGCGTCATTCTCACCACCGCAACTACCGCCACCAGTGCCACCAATTTCACCCGCCATTTTTCATGTCAAAATATGTCACGTACGTATTGTGGTATGAACTGATCACATAAACTATAATGTAACTAATCAACTCAGCGAGTCTGCAACTGCAGCCCCCCTCCCCTCTTCCTCAGGGACGTTGAATCGCCGTCACGAAAGTCCCCGGAATCTGCAACGATGGCGTGAACCAATCAAAACATCAAAATCCGACTTCGAAAAAGAATTATAAAATTAATAAAATGTTTGTATTTTTATTATTTAAAAATTTATACACAAATTTTGTGTCCCATTATGCTTAATTAGAGCCTACTTTGTACGGACGAGGGGTGGCGCAGTTGGAAGAGAAAGAAGATTGAATTGGGGAGAGAATTTTGAAGAATGAGAAGAATCATCCAAAAATAGCGGAAAGAGAGAGAGAGATGCTTGTTGTTGGGTTTCTCTTGAATGAAATTCTATGGATCTCCCCAAATCTCTCGCCTTTGTACGAGAATGAGAATGACTTGCATGAAACGGAAACGCTAATGTCATTTCTTTCGTACACACATTTCATCACTCACCTACCCACAAACATTTTGTATATGGTCCGTTTTATCAGGGACAAATTTCGGATATGATTCAACTATTACGTATACTCACTCTATTTCTTCCTGATTATCAATTCTAGCTAGTCATGTATGAGTTTTTATGAGTGCTGTCATGCCCATCCATCTGTTTTATTTCTCATCCATCCGTCTTATTTGCTCGTCTATTATTTCTTATTGCTCGTTACATTTTGTGTTTTATGGGCCACAACAAAGGACCATCTAGTAGTAGAAAAAGCTGGTCGGCTCTTATGATGATATATTTTGATCGAATTAAATACAGTTACATTGAATGGTTCCACTACTACAAACTAGAGCTTAGTCATGTTGGCTAGAGCACTATGCTCGCCTATCTACACCCAAGTTCGAATCTCCATTTTTGAGTATAAATGACGTTTAGTGGAGAAGATCCAGTCGTTTATAAAAAAATAGTTCATGTACAAATTGCATCGATACCTTTTGTATAAAACTCCACGCTCTAAATGAAAAAAAAAATCGTAAATCAAAGTTGTAGCAGCGGAAGTAAAAAGGAATTACAGTAAACGTCATACCAAATGGAATCAAAACTTGTCTAATTTGAAATTGGAATATGAGACTCCATTTGTATGCAGAAAACCTCACGTAGGTGGGTTCATAAGTTGAGTGGAGGAGAAATTAAAATATTTTTTCTTCTCATTAAATCGCCTATTTATTTATTTATTATTTTTGATAAATAATAACGTTAATGAGTCAAAAAATAAAAATTAATGAAGATCCAATCTGCACCAAAATGCATATATTATTATTTTCCGTCAATGCGATAAAACACTCTGTATAAACTTTAGACTTACATAAAAAATAGCCTAACTAATTACGTATCGAACAACCACGACACGTAATAAATAAGGTTTATTCATTCCTTATGTAATTTGATAACATTTTATACTTGTGAGAGAAGCATACGATCGCAGCGCAAAGAGGACATAGCGAGTGGGCTGTGGACTCCTCCTCCCTCCGTACCTCCTCCTCCTCGCATTCTCGCCGGTGTAAAACACAGTCTCTGTGTGGAAACCGAAGCACGACGACACCGTTTGAGAGAGGGAGAATTGTGCCAAGGAAGAAAAGAAGAATATGGATATGGAAGCACAGAGGTTTGTATGGGGCGGAGCAATTCCTCTGCAGATTCATCTCCATGAATCCGACGTCGCCACTCTTCCTGCTCCCCCACCTGCCCTGGTACTAAACCTCCGTATACATATATATCTTTGAAATTTCCAATTGGGCCCCCGATTACCCTCCAAATTTACTATGATTGTTACTCTCTCTCTCTGTAACTTGTTTGATTTCAGATCTTAGCTCCTCGGATTGGGTATCTGCCATTGTTGGCCTCGCTTCTAAAACCTCACTTCAGCTCTGCACTTCCTCCTCGCTTAGACACCATTTGGTTCGAGTACAAAGGCTTGCCCTTGAAATGGTATGCGCCCATTTCCTCTTTGTCCAAACCCAAAATTTCGGTTTTGCTACAATGCTTAATTTGCCGGTTTTCGTAAATAAAACAAAGTGTTTTGATAATTTTTTGATAATTGATATGGCATTTGATTTTTGATGTTAGTGACTGCCAGTCTAATTTGCACTAGATTTTTGGTTTTTCTCTAATTGTTTGTTGTTGCCCTTTTGGTTCTTTAAATGATCTTGCATGCCCGTTTAAGGTTTGCGTGCCAGAAATTAGTATTTTGAAGTGAATGAGGGAGGAAAGAGTGAATGAATAGCGCGCGATGCTTTCATAAGTTGTTAGATTCGTGTTAGTATTATTTGTTTCATAACATTGCAAGAGCTTCTTGCAGGTATATACCGACAGGAGTTCTGTTTGATCTTCTATGTGCAGAGCCAGAAAGACCTTGGAATCTCACGGTAAATATTTTTTCTTATCAGGGTATCTTTTTTTTTCATCCCCGTGTTTCAAATTGACGAGGGCGATGGAAGCTTTTATAGAAACTTAGGAGGAAACTAGTCACAAAAAAGAAATGCAGAATTATGAACAGAAATCGTACCTGCATTTGGTTCTCTTATATGTAAATAGGAGATGGCTGGCTATCAGAAACCACATACATGCATAAGTGTATTTCAGAAGTTATTCTTGGTAAATACATTACGGATTTATTTATTTTATTCTAAGGCTGAACGTTTTGGAGTTACTAACTTACTACAGATAAGAAATTAGGATGGTGTTATACACACACCCTTTTACCTCCCACATACCCTTGTTAATTTTGGTCAATTGATCTTCTTAAATCGTTCGATCTCACGGTCGAAAATTGAGAGGGGTGTGTGAGAAGTAAAAATGGGTGTGTGGATAGCACCACCCAAGAAATTATTGTCACAAACATTTGTCAGGCTACTATGTGGCATCAAAATTTATTCTCTTGTTTTGGTGGAGTTTGGGAAATCTCAAAAAATTGGCCAGGTGTGTTTAAAGTTTCATAATGTAGTGGGAAAACTGAATTCTCGTTTGAATGAATTTGGGACCTAGCCAATTCTAATCAAACCCAGCATGACTTGGTTTTCATCATCTTCTCCCAACATTTCAAAACCATCACTGGTGCTACACTATTACATTTTGCCACTATCACTGCCTGCCACCACTTCAACTTGCCCCATTTGCCACCATTTCTACTGCTACACTGTTTCTGCCACTGGTGTTACAGTGACCACCATCCCTGCCACCATCTAACTACCTCAACCAGCATGACTTACCACCAATGTCGTAATAATTATCCTCCATTTTTACACAATTAATTGAAGTAGATTGACAAGATGTTACTTATACGATATGTAATGCTCTAATATTTTTTCTCTCAGTAAATTTCTAAAGGTTATTACTCAATTTAAACAAACTAGTTTAGCTATCAGCCTAGCAAGTTAATTGGTATGAACTAGTTAGAGGATAAGTTTGGATGGACCATGTAAAATGTTTAACAATAATATTATGATGAGTGGACGCGTAAATTTAGCATTTCATTGTCATTGTATCACAGTACACAACACTTTGAATGAAGTTCCATATATTTTTGGATTATCTGCCAATGAGGTGTAATCGAGTGGTCATGCGGCTCATGCTTGTTGTTTGCTCCCATGTGGTCTGGGGTCAATTCCTCTAGCTATTTGCTAGAGTTTTCTGCCTCCCGAGGTCAGGGGCGCCAAATTCTCATCCGAGTCTGCAAAGTGGGTTTGGGGAGTTTTAGGGAATCAAGCAACAATATTTCTGATGATTATTATTATTTTTTTTTAAATTGTCTTGCACCACCTCCTTTTCTTCTGATGCTACAGGGAATCAGGACTCAATTTTGGATCTTTGTGCAGGTGCATTTTACAGGATATCCGGGGAACATATTGATTCCTTGTGATGGTGAAGATAGTGTAAAGTGGAGCTTTATCAATTCTTTGAAAGAGGTCAGGGATTGTTTTGTTTGATTCATATTGTCTATTTATACAACTGTTTATTTCTTGCCATATATTGTATTTGACTCAGTTTGATTTTACTGTTTAGTTTGGGATCTAGTGATAAAGTTACAATTTTTCATTGGAAAGTCTTGTATGACAATGTAGATGTCCTTAAATTACTTTTTAATGGTATTTACTTCATCTGCAGGCTGCATATATAATAAATGGAAACTGTAAGAATGTGATGAACATGTCTCAGCCAGATCAGGTGGAGCTTTGGCGTTCGGTCTTAAATGGTATACCTGCTAATTGCTGATGATATGGAGTTATTGCGACATTTTTTTGGGTTCATTCATTTTAGTTAAGTTGAACAAATATAGGTGATTCCCCATCTACGAGATATTTTATATCTACATATATTTGAGAAAGTACAAGAAAATTTGTATAAATTTTTGTAAAAAAAATGTTACCTATAATTAAACATTTTATATAGGGATAATCTTTGGAGTGGAATGTTGACCATTAATCACCAAACTTTGGTAATAACTATTTATATAGCACTATCATTTTGTTGAGACTATCCCACATTGGAGATGGAAGTCTTGCAATGCGTGCGTAATAGATCTTGCCACCTGTCCACCATTGGTTTTGGGGTCGATGCTTACATTCTAAGACTTGCATTCAGACTTTCATGCTTGCACATAGTTACTTAAGGTTGTATTCTGCTAATATTATGGCTTATGCATGGTTCCTCCCCTTGCTGGCCCTCTACCCCCTTTCCCTTCTTTTCCCCTTGTTTCATCTGATTCGGGTCTTAATTGTCTGATTTCTACTTATTGCTGTGGATGTGCCTTTTATGAATTAGCCGTCTGCTTAATCACTTCCTCAAACTTTTTTTTTTTGTAGGTAATTTGGAAGCCTACTTCCGGGTATCTTCTAAACTTAAGCTTGGAACAGTTGGGGAAGACTGGGCAGCAAAGAATTCATGCTCTCCAAAATCCAGACCAAATATGGGCGAAACTGATGTTTCTGGACAAGTGAAGGCAGGTGAGCGAAGATTTAATGTTCTAGTTTGTCTTCATGATTGGTGTGCTCACATTTTCCAGCCAAAACTCTTTACAACTTCATATTATCTTCCTAACTTGAACTATAAGCCCACACCTTACTTCGAACCCACTCCCTATTTGAAGGTGCTGCCTTGCTTCAATTCCATTGCTATCATCAGTTCCTTACTTTGACCTATGTCAAATTTATGTGTTGCTATTCTAGCTTTTGAGATTTCAGATTGCAAGAGGTTGTTAAAACTTTTCGCCTTAGGTTGACTGATGGCAAAATTAAAAAAAAAAAAAAAAAACTCTGAAGTTTTAGGAATTTTAAAGGTTTTAGAGAGATTTCTGGGCCTAGGGT